ATACATGGGTTGTATGGATTTTTTGTGGCCCAAGCTGGGGCAACTCGGCCACTGACATGGATTTTTGAGGGTATTGTGTTGTCGAAAGGCTGGTGGAGAACTCTGTTTGCCCACCATGAAAAATAGAATTTGTCCTGAGTTGGTATGTGTGTGTATATATATATATATATGTGTGTGTAGACATACATGTAAGTATGAATCAGTTATGAACACAGAGAAAAAATATATATGCCTAACAGTATATAAACATAACTACAAAAATTACAAAACTTTAAAAAAATTTCAGTTGATAAGAAGTATTTTTATTTATTTTTTTACTATTTATACTTCATTATTACAAATAATAATAAAATATTAAATATTACACGTGGGATTAAATATATAATAACATAATAAAATTATTAAAAATTACGAGTTTAAATTTCTATGTGAATATAAAATTGATTACTTTTTTTTGCCTATTACGAGACGATGATTATTAATTTTAATAAAATTAATAATTTAATTTATTAATACGTAAATATCAATGCATTGACTAAATTATATTAATTTTTATTAAATTTGTTGAAAAAAATAAATATTATATAATAATTATATTATATTAATTAATATAGTTACAACATATATATATATATGTATATATATATAAAGGGGACACTGAAAATTATGGTGTGAAAGCAACAAGAGGAGGAGCATTATCCTGGTATGTCAATATTTTGGTATTCTGACTCATTGTTTTCTTTAATTTCCCCACCTCAAAGTACAATTTCATATCTTGTAATTTGGAGTTTTTCATAATAAATACATACATACATACACATATATATATATATATTATAAGTAGTTTTAACACAATAATTTAATATTGTTCCTTTGAATATGTAAACATTAGGGTAAATTTTTCTAAAAATTTTACCTAGGGATAATATTATTTAATATATAACTCTTTAATTGAATTTATTCAAATTTGTAATAAAATAATATTATAATCCTTAATTAATTTCATGTATAAATCAAATTATATGCTCTACGATTATTATTTTTTTAATTAATATTTGTAAATAAACATCTATCAAATTTCAAAACCGAAATAACATAAATAAAATTTATTAAAATATTACATAAAATAATTAAAATTTAATAAAGTTGGAATTGGGCTATTTTGTGCCCCGATGGGTTAAATAAAATTGGGCCTTAAAATTATTGGGCTACGAAATAAATAGGGTGGACTATAGTAGTTAAATTGAATTATAGAAAATTAAAATCTTATAGGATAATTTGATAATGTGTGTTCGTATATATTATGTGCATATATATGATATATATATGATAATGTGTATGCTAGGTGTTATCCTCCGCTAATGGGCAATTGGTATACTTAATTAATAATATTATAATGTACACCATGGTTTTTTGTAATTACATAAATTGAATTATAGAAAATTAAAATCTTATAGGATAATTTGATAATGTGTATTCATATATATTATGTGCATATATATGATATATATGATAATGTGTATGTTAGGTGTTATTCTCCACTAAACTTTTATTTTATTTGGATCATGGTAAATGATAAAATTTTAATGTATATTATTTTACAGACGTAAAAAAATCGTTTTTGTTTTAATTTTCAATGATAATAAATGGTATTTGACTGACAAATTTTGAAGTGAATTTTTAAACCACAAAATTAATGGTATTTAGTAGACATACTATTTATTTTTTATTATATTTCTATTTAATTTAATTAATTATATATATGTTATGATAATTAAAAACTAATTAAATTAATATGATAATATAAATAATTATTATTTAATTTATTAAATATAAAATATTAATTTAATTATATATAATAATTATTTATTTAAATATAAATATAATTATATTAATAAATAATTTATTTTTTATTACATATTTTTTTATATCATTTATTATTATATATTATATAATGTATATAAATAAATTAATAATTTAATTAAAAATACAATTATACCATCCTATCATCTAAATAATTTTTTTTTGCAAGAGGGTTAGAAATTTCATAATCTTAATTTTGAGATTAATTAAATTTTGCTTATTTCAATTAACATATTGGTTAACGTTTTTTTAATAAATTAATTATTGATTAATAATATTTATTTATTTAAATTCCAAAAATTACCCCTGAAAATCAAGCAATTGACCAACCGAACAGAAACCGCATTTCACCTTTAACGCGAAGCAATTCCGGGGACGCGTTGGATCTCCTCTTCTTCTTTCTCTGTCCTTGCGAACTATATTTTCTCTCCTCTCTGCAAACGCCTTTCACTGGACAGAGAGAAGGAGGGGAGGGTTTCTAGAGAGAAAAGATGTGGGTGTTTTACATGATCTCTCTTCCATTAACCCTAGGCATGGTGTTGTTCACGTTGAGGTACTTCGCTGGACCCGACGTGCCTCGTTATGTCCTATTCACCGTTGGATACACCTGGTTCTGTTCGCTCTCCATCATCATCCTCGTCCCTGCCGATATATGGACGGTAACCTTTTCGTTTCTCTTTTGGTTAGTTTAGTATTGGAATTTCTCCTGATTTTATTCACATGTGATGTTTTTTGGAGCGGCAAACGTCAATCTTTCAGGTGCAATTACAGTCGAATCCATTTGTGCACTTCGAAAAATATTTATATCTATTGATTGCTCGTTTCAATTAATTTGGGTTAGTTTTTGTTGTATATTGACGTTTAGGAGCTGCTTGGATCGGAATATAGTGTTCTGGATGACAAATATGAGTTTCTATGAGTGGAAAAGTATTAAAATGAATTGGTTGTACGGGAGATTTTTCTTTTCTTGGTTGATTTGGTATTGTAAAGACGCTAACAATTGTGATGTTTTATTTCATCCGCAGACAATATCGAACCCGCCTGATCATCCGGAGAATGGGGGCATTGCTTTCTTCTGGAGCTGGTCGTATTGGGGTACATTTCTACTTACATGGTACGCCTCAGTTAAACTCAGCTGCCATAATTTACCTTTTTTTATATTTCTCTTGTTTGATCTCTGTTTGTGAGCGCCATAATTTTGCATTATAAGGGGCCCAATTAATGTCCCTTGATCGGCTCGTTGGCTTAAATATAGAACTGGAATGTTAGTCTTTAGATGGACATACTCTGAGTACTAAAAGAATATAAAAACTCTCATGTTGCTATAGTTGAGAGATTTTTTTTGATGGATTATGGGTTCTTTATGTTGTATGGCAGGATTTTTATGACAAGAAATGTCTCCTTGACATGCATGTTTTTTTTTTTCTTTTGTTCTTGTGTGTGATTGCCATTGAAGAAGTAAGCATCATCATCTGTGTCTTTGTGTTTTCTCTGTGCTATTCTCATGTTTATGCAAAATGCAGATGGCATGTCTTTATGTGGCAAATTACAAAACTTTATCTTGCTTGTCCCTTTTGACTGTGTTAGCGATACAATCTTCTGATTTCGCTAATCATAGATGCATTTTTCCTCATATACTTAAATTATGTCATCTCTAAGCAGGGCTGTGGTGCCCCTTATTCAGGGTTTCGAAGATGCTGGGGACTTTACTGTAACAGAAAGATTGAGAACTAGCGTGCATGCTAACTTAGTCTTCTATCTGGTTGTGGGTGCGATTGGCCTCTTTGGACTCATTCTCCTCATCATGATGCACAAGGACTGGTTTGTTCTTGTATTCTTTTAGTTGTTTTTACTCGAATATCAAGTTAGATTATTCCTATTCCTTGTGGATGGCTAGAGATATGTTGTATTTAATTCTTTCAAATTTTCATATTTGCTTATTAAAAAATCCAAGTCCTCATGTCTTGTTGAAAGTTTGTGCTTTCACTTAATTTTGTTTAAAAATTATTTGTCCGTCACTTTGTGTTATCTTTTACAATTGTATAGCTTCACAACATGAAGAAGTGAATTCTGAAATGGTGGAGTTGCTTTCTCTCTGGAAATATCTTATCTAGCTTGAATATATCTTTCTTGACAGGAAAGGGCGTAGTATTATGGGCATGGCCATGGCTTGCTCGAATACATTTGGGCTTGTTACTGGGGCATTTCTTCTTGGTTTTGGCTTGAGTGAAATTCCTAAGAGCATTTGGAGAAATGCTGAGTTGATCACACGACAAAAAGTTCTTTCCCATAAAATTGCCAAAATGGCTGTGAAACTTGATGATTCACATCAGGAACTTTCAAATGCTATAGTAGTGAGTATCTTTTTCAATTAAAATTTAAAAGCATATGAACGAAGTTATAAGTTCAATTTCCTTTTCTTTTTCTTGGTTTAAACCATATTCATTTTGAATGGTGATAGAAAAGCCAAAACGCCAAATATTTGTGGTTGTATCAATTTTTTGCTCATATATTTTTCATGCTGATCTCTTAGTTTATGCTGGAAAAAAATTGGGCCGTTTATCTTTTTACCTGGTTATGTATCTATTGTATGTTCAATTCCTGGTTAAGTATTTTCCTGCTGATAAACCAGTGGTTTGGCATAATGTTTGAAGAGGAATAGACATTCTTGTTTTCTTTTGACTAATGTTGCAGCATTTGGAGATTTTTCTTAACAGTGGATAATTTCATAGGTTGCTCAAGCAACATCCAATCAGATGTCCAAGCGTGACCCATTGAAGCCATACATGGATGTTATTGATGATATGTTAGCTCGAATGGTATTTATCTTTTTGTTTTTCTTGGCAAACTTAGCTGGAGTCAAGATGGAACTCTTTAATTGTTTGACAATGATTTTCTACTTTTCAGTTTAGAGAAGATCCTTCTTTTAGACCTCAGGGTGGTCGATTGGGAGAAAATGACATGGATTATGACACGGATGAAAAATCCATGGCAACACTCAGACGGAATCTTCGTATAGCTAGGGAGGAATATTATAGATACAAAAGGTAAATTATGTTATAATAATTAAATGTATTACTCAATGGATGAAGTTTTCATGAATTCTTCTCTGGGTTCTCATACCTGCCATATCGATCTCCATGCTTTTGGAACTATAATATATCCCTATATTGCATTAGCAGCAAGATCTTTTGTTTGTTTGCTGAAGAAATTGCTAAGGATATTTTTTCTCAGCCAGATTGTTAAAGTACCTTGCTTTAGCTTGGATTTGCACAACTGCATTGATTCTTTGGGTTTTGGTGAAAGGAAATATCTCAAAATCTCTTGTATTCCTAGAGGTCTGTATTGTTTTGCTTCTTCTGGATCAGGTCGCACTTAGATGTTACTTGCTTTTGTAAATTGTGTCACTGCCGTTCTATTTCTAGTGATCAGGTACTCGTGAAATTTCATCCCTGGTAATCTTTAGCAATCTCTAGACAGGACTGATCGTTGGATGGCTCTTGTTATTGAAAAGCTTGTAGGCCTGTGTTCACTGAAGGGTTTAAGTGAAAATGCCAACTTGCTTGATCGTGCGACTTTCCAATGGATAACTCCATTATACATGTTTTATTGTTAATTTTGTGCAGCGAGTACATGACGTATGTTCTGGAGGCCCTTGAACTGGAAGATACAATAAAAAATTATGAGCGCCGCAGTTCAACTGGATGGTTTGTCCAATTCATTTCAATCTCTCCATATGTTCGAAGATTTTTCTTGATTTTAACACCTATATGCATCTATTGCAGGAGATATATTTCAAGTTTCAGACCTGCTCGTTCTGGCAAAATTGGTTCCTTTCTTGATATAATGGGTAGTTTGTCATATCCTCGTTCCTATTTAAAATTTATTCTATTGCATCCACGAGGAATATAGGAAAATATTTTGTCAGAGTGTTCGCTGAGGAGGTAGATATATTCACTCTTAAATACCCCCATAAAACTGACTAGTTGTCAGTGCAAACACCACCAACTTTTTCTGCAATAGTGCTATGGGGGAAATTGGTAGAATAGGTTGGATTGGTTGTTCTGATTGTCTGACATGTTATTGATGTTTTCTTTATATTTGATTCTTTGCAGAATTTATTTGGCGATGCATTCTAAGAAAGCAACTTAAGAAGGTTTTTGCTGTCATAGTTGGTATTATGTCTGCTGCAATTCTTTTAGCTGAGGCAACACTACTGCCCAGGGGTGTTAATCTCTCTCTTTTTTCCATTCTTATAAACTCGGTGAAAAAGGAAGAGGTGCTTGTGCAGGTAAATTTTAGTCCTTTCTTTTGCTTTTGTTATTTCATATTTCTGAAATATGAAGTGCTGAATTACTAGCATCGAATATGAGTTTAAAAATACAATCTCATATTTATTCTTTTCTTTTGCAAAATTCTCATTTGCATTCTATGGCTTTACTATGTTACACATATTCATTGTGGCCACTCTCCATTAAGTGTTAAATTGTGGTATGATAAACACCACTCCTTTCATGATTTGCGAAATAAAAGATGCTAATCAATGTTATAGTGCTACTTGAAAGAATATTTGTTACTAGAGCTTAGGCTGGTGGTAAATAATGAATTATGCCTTGCTCATTTACCCTTTGCCCC